GATACATTTTTGTAAAGAAAACAAGAATAATTCTCTCGTAAATCAAAAATGAAGAATAATAAATAGACAAGAGAGTAATGGAATGGTCTAACGGTTTTTATGAGAGAATTTGACTTTTCAGTCGTGACAATTAACTCTTTATTATTACCAATAAAAACAATAAATTCTCAATTAAGATAAATGCATTTATTAAAGATAAGACATCAATCTTTGTCGAAAAAAAAAAAACGTAGAATATCAATCTTGATGGAACGGAAGGAGTACCAGGTTATTATAATTTTAGAAGTTGGAATGGGCCAACATAGTTAATTAGTGGGCTTTTTGAGAAATATTAGCACACTTTTTTTTCTTTTTCTTTTTGTGTGTACGACGAATCTGGAAACCCCCACCGAAAACCCTAAACGATTATCGAAGCAGAGAAAGAGGAGCGATTTTGTTTCTTCCCAAATCTTCGAGTTATCTTCTTCCTTCGCTTAACTCATGGCTGTAAGCTTCGATCTCTCTCCATCTTCCGTATTCGCTAATTTTGAGCTTCGATTGCTTTTTTTTCTTTCTTGGTAGAACTCAAGATTAGAATCGTACTGGTTAAAGTAGTATTAGGGTTTGCGAAATTCGGTGTTCTGAGCTTTTCCGGTGCCGTTTTTATGAAATTTCTCTCATGTTTGTTGTCGATTTATCTGATTAGAAGTATATATCGGAATATCTTCGAATCAGGATTGATGTGTGTGGTTTTAGAGGGATACACGATTGCGAAATATTTAGCTTTTTTTTTCATGATTAATCCAAAATTACGAAAGTAATTTTATTCAATTAATATTTCGCATTCTTGTTCTTCATCTGAAAACGAGCCTTTTGAGTGAGATTTGATGATAAATCTTTTGTATTTTGATGAAATTTTTGGCAGACCATACCAGTTAACCCGAAACCGTTCTTGAACAATTTGACCGGCAAGACGGTTATTGTTAAGCTCAAATGGGGAATGGAATACAAAGGTATTATCTTTTTGTTTTGTTTTGTTTATGATGTGG